GCAACAACAACAGTAGCAACAACTACACTAATACACTAATGAACATGAAGATGATGACGACGACAGCAGCAACGATGGGGGACAGCGAGCAGCGACAACAGCAACAACATCATTAGAAATAGCACCTCATTGAAAATAATAACAACTAACATAAAAAACTATAAATAAGTGTATAGATTGCAATGCTACTCATTTTTGTCAGCAAATATAGTTTATCTATCTTTAAACCTCAGTGATAAACAAAATTAGATAGAAATGGGTTAAAAGTTAAAACTAAAAGTGGCAAGAGGTCCTTTATTGTTTTCTGAGGCAGACATGGCACTGGCTGGCCTTGCGTCGCTGTTGGTCAGCTGCCTTGATAGTTCCAGGGCTCGGGGTGATAAACTGCTCTCTCTGACCAACCGTAGTCAGCCAAAAACTGTAGAGGTTGGCAAAGTAGTGACAGGAACCACGCCCACCCTGGCACTCGATGAAGGGGTGAGTCCGGAAATCCTTAAGGCAGCTACCAGAGGAACTCAGAGACTGGCCACCGCCCTCATCACCTGCCCCTGTGTGCTGAAGAGAAAAAGGGCAGCCGGTACACAGTCGGTAAGTTAATAGCATTTTTATAATAACAAAATCAAGCTTTTTATCACACTCACCAGGAGCAAGGAATACCCAGTCCACAGACTCCTCCAGCCAGGTGGGCATGCAGGGACAGTGTGATCCTGGCTGTGAATAGCCACAGCAGGTGAAACTGTCTCGCACACCACACAGCGGCTGATGTGGGAGCTGATCTCCTGGCCGAAGAGTGGCATCATGGGTATGGGAGCGGTGGTGGAGAGCCAATAGGATTTGTCGTTGCGACTAGAGTAATGGCAGGCAGCTTTGTTGCAGTAGGAGAAAGGCATGGTGGAGAATACAGGGAGGCAGGAGCCAGCCTGGCCTACAGGGAGAAGAGGTAAAAGAAGATACACAGGAAGAAAAGTTATTTGTCAACCCCTTGAACAAATTAATTCAACTAAACAGAAGTACAACTTTAGGCTGACCCTTACCCAGATCTTGAGTGTGAGCCTTCTCTTGTCCTTCCAAGTAGACCAGACTGTAGCCCACCCAGAGCTGACTGTTGCCTTCAGGGCACCGTGGCACCTGAACTGACTGGCTGTGGATAACCAGAAGGAAGCCTGACCTCAATGCCCCTCTATGCCCTGGCTCACCTGGATCACCGACTGGACCTGGGATACCTGGAGGATGGAACGGTTGAACAAGTAGCAAGTGGGTGACATGGAGGGAGGATAAGAGCAAGGAAGAGATGACAGAAAGATGAAATTACCTATTTATTGGCTGTCAATTATTTTATTTGTTACTGTGAAGGACCAATATTGTATCCAGATGTTAATAGATAAACTCAGTGTCTCTATAAGGAGACTACAAGATGTCTGGCAATTATCAGTCCTGTGGAGTTTCTTGTCTTTTATTTTGACCATACGGCCACAATCTCAGTCCTAATTTAAACAATACAAATACTGGGATTGTTACATGTCTGATTACTCACCTTGAGATCCGGTAAATCCTTGCTGACCAACATCCCCTGGGTCTCCAACAGGGCCATCAAGACCAGGAGGACCTGGTTGGCCAGGGAAGCCAACAGACCCTACAGGACCCTTGTCTCCTGGAACACACAGAACAGACACATACAGACAACAGATTTTTTTTTCAGAAACAGACAAGAAAATGTACACATACACATATACATACACAGAAACTGTATTAAGACTTTCTTGCCTTTACGTCCTGGAGTCCCAGGAGGACCCACATCACCAGGGAATCCCACAGATCCTGGGTGACCATGTGGTCCTGGGAGTCCGCGAGGAGACAACCCTGGGCGTCCACTGATGGAATCCCCAAGAGCACCTTTGGGACCTAGAAAAGAACATAAAACATTGATGGATGTACTGTAGTAATATATACCACAATATTTCATCAGTGTTGAATAAATGAGAATACATTTTAAACTAATAAAAGTGAAACCGAAAATTTAAAGAATATTAAGAAAATTAATATTATTTATTTTTTATATTAAATTAAAATGTATACACACACCAGAGACGTACCTCCCTCTCCCGTGTCACTGTCTACTGTTCTACAGTCGAGTAAAGGCAATATATAAAATAATATACAGTATATGTGTATTCATAAAACTATCAGCATATCTCTTCCTACAGTGCCACTCACCTGGGTTTCCAGCTGGGCCAGTTACTCCCTTGCGGCCTGTAGCCCCAGGAGCACCTTTCTGACCTCTGGGTCCTGGAGGACCCCTGGGACCAGAAGGACCTCTTTCACCTATGCAGCAACATTTAGAGTTAATTCAAGTGTATGACAACACTGTAAATACTAATGTTAGCAATTTTGCCCTGTAATGTACCTTTTGGTCCTGGAAAGCCTGGGTAGCCCTGAAATCCAGGAGGTCCTCTGAGGCCCTTATCTCCCTTATGACCGGGTAACCCAGGGAAGCCAATTAGGCCTGGGTCTCCTTTGCAGAAGATGCTGCTGCCTGGAGGGCCTGGTGCCCCAGGATGACCTAAAATCCCAGTTGTGGACAGAAAAAAAGCATGTATATCCACAGTTAAACATGAATGTGTGCACAAAAAATGTACCATCCTAAATGTGACCATGCAAACACTGAGATGACCATAGACAAACATGTATATATATATATAAATAGTAACACACACACCTGGGGGTCCTGGAGGTCCTTCATATCCTTCCTCTCCCCAGGCTCCTGGTAAAGGCATGTGGCATTCTTTGCCAGGGTAACCAGGTTCACCTGAGAAGCCGGGAAAACCTGAGGAAAGAAACACAGAAAAGCTTAATACTTTATCTCAAATAATACTATATAGAGAAATGGAACAGTATCCATACTCAGCAGTGCTACAGAGTGCTAAATGATAATAAAACCACAATATGATCTGAGTGATCATAACAGATAACAGGTTGAATGGTAAGAAATCATAACAGACATAATACCTCTGTCGCCAGGTGGGCCCCTTTGGCCTTTATAGCCAGGAGAAGTGTCTCCTGGAGGACCACGGTGGCCCTTGAGACCTTTGACTCCAGGAAATCCGTGTGGTCCTGGAGGGCCTGGGATATCTAGGCCTTGAAATGATAAACCAATACATTTAAGTGATAAAGTAAAATATCTACCGACATATACTGACCAATATACTGACTGTATTTAGTAAATGAAATTACACTAATTTATTTACTTTGACTCTTGCATTTTTGTGTATGATTTAAGGGAACGTTATGGGGTTCAGCTGAACTTCAACATTTCTCTTTTAGAATTTGTAAATCCAAAGTACACTTATAGCATTAACTATATATATAATATACTATATGAACAAAAAATCTATACTAACAGATACACCATAAAAGTCAAGTAGAGAAATGATGATAAACTTTTTCCCTCTTACCACTTCCTTTTATTCCTTTTGGACCTGTAAGCCCATCAAGTCCATGCAGACCTGGTGGTCCAGGGGGTCCTAACATAAAATCAAAATACAGCATAAGAATACTCCTGTGTTGGGAACACTCAAAAGCATTTTCCCTTTAGCATATCACCTGGATTTGTTTTTTCTTTTTCCACGTGTCTTCTGACATTTTACAACAACAGAAGATAAGCACATCCCTCATTATGAATTTGTCCACATGCAAACGGCTGCATTTCTGACTTTTTATTGGCAGCAACATTTTAGAACCCCTTTGACACTGAACTTAGGCAAAGATACAAGCCAATACAAATAACATAGTAGACACTTCCAATGTGTGTACCCTGCCTATCCAGTGACAGGAGGAACCTGTTGTTATGTTAGTACCTGGAGGCCCATTTGGTCCAGGTGGGCCTGGTGGTCCCAGACCCCCATGATCGCCTGGAACACCTGGAAAACCTGGAGTACCATATTCACCACGAGGCCCAGGGAATCCTGTATAGACACAGACATAAAAAAGCTGAAAATTCTGAATTTTATTTTAATTTGAAGAAAGTGGAAAACTGGAACTGATTTATTGCTATTGAATGACACTTGATGTACCTTTATGTACGTTTGTATTAAGGTGTAAGTCAGCTTTGTGAGATAACAAATTACCCTGGTTACTGACACGTCATTAGATTTTTTTTCTGTGATGATATACAACTGCGAGGGTTCTTATTCTTCTCCTGAATCTGACCATAAGCTAGCATTCAAAAAGCAACTTTAAAGCCAATCATCAGCAGTGTTCCTTCATTTATCCATTTAAAATGATTGCTGCAGTATATTTGTTCTCTCATTCAAATCTTCGAATCTCGAAATCACCTGGTTCTCCTAATCTTCCTGGTTCCCCGGGAATGCCTGGTCGTCCAGGGGGTCCTGACCTTCCCTGGGGTCCTGGGTCTCCTTGATCTCCTGCAGGCCCTCTGGGTGCTCATGAGAATTATTTTGTGGATATAAATTTATTTCCAGTTACTACTCATGGTATACAGATTAGATGATATATATAGATACAATTTCTTCTAGTCACTCCTCATCATTTGAAGCAATTTCTAAGTAGGTCCTCTGTTCTGTGAGGAATTTTCTCAACTTACTATTCAGTCCACCCTCCCCTGGCAATCCTTTGGGTCCAGGCGGACCAGGTTGTCCATACGACTCTCCTGGCTCACCTGGAACAGATTTGGACAGGTTTAATCAGGTTCAACCGCATTACAAAGAATTTCAAGAACTAACGTTAAATCCTGAAATTTGCATGTATTATAACAATTTATCATATTGTGTTTGATAAGCCAAACACAATTGTAAATGATTCAATCTGCTGTGGATCCACGTTCCGGTTTATGAACCTTTTTCTCCATGACATGAAATACCTGAAATGCTACTTCAGAATCAGCTAAAACACAAGACCACTCTCTCTTTTGACTCACCCTTAGTCCCTGGAAATCCCGGTAAACCTGGGATACCCGAATGACCTCCATGCCCTGGATCTCCCTTTAACAAACATCAACAAATTCAAATTATATCAAATGTATTATATATGTTTTGGGTTTGCCCCAAATTAACATATTTGTGGCGATCTATATTCAAATTCTTTTCTGATGTGCTATAAATATCCATAGAACCTATTTGGCAATAAGCAGAACATAGGCAATCTATGACTAGCCCTAAACTTAATCCAAGCCATAGTGGTACAAGTAGTGGCATCCTGGCACAAAGTCATGTAATGCCTGTGCACAAATTGGTGGAATCATCCAGTGCGTCCAGTGACTACTATTTTTCAGTGTTCTTGGGTATCTACTGGGTAGATATTACAAAAACTGAGCACAGACACAGCCAGCTGTCTCTAAAATTAAGTAGACATTAAATTAGGTTAATTGTGTACCAGATCTCCACCATGTCCAGGATATCCCCTTGGACCAGGGAAACCTTTGATTCCAGGGTACCCAAGAGGTCCGGGCAATCCTCTCCTGCCTGGAGCACCAGTGGTGCCTTTAAACCCTGGTAGACCAGGCCATCCATTAGGCCCTGGATTACCTGGATCTCCACTTGGGCCTTTTGAGCCTGTGAACAACAAAACAAAATAGAAATGATGTAGTCCTTAGCTGGTTATCATAATCGTCTTTGTACTGAAGTAAATGAGAATTTTTTTAAATTAAAAAAATAAGTTATTTATACAATATTTAGTTCATTAATACTGCAGTTAACAACTATTTTGCTATGTAAATACATAGTTGAGTAAAGGTGCCCTGAGCAGAGAATGACGTCACACTTCCTCTCCCTGTTTTGATCCCCAAGCATTATTTACATCTCAGGCCTGGCTGTGCGTGCATGTTAGTGTTATGTTCTCTGTGTGGACTTTGAAGATAGGGACTGAAATGGTTTCTTTTCACATCTACCTCTGTGAAGTAAAGATTTATTTTGACCAGACCAGATGATTGTTGGAAAGACTGTGAAAAGACTATCAAAGATGGTTTTGGTGAGTTTTATTTTTTTTCCTTCTACTTTGAATCGGGTTACAATGTTATGATGATATGTGAGATAAAAATGTTTGGCTATGGAGTTTGGTGGTAAGCGATAGTGATATTAACAGCTGTTTCTGGTTAAACAAAAGGTCTATCTCTTTAAGGATCATTTCCATATTGTTGTCAGACATTTTGAATAATGATCTGAGCCTGTAGAAAACAAGCACTTTTAGTGGACGCAATTCAACAGGGGCAAGGATTATGTTTCAGCTATCGAAGCCCATTTTGCAAATATTGCTGATTTGCTTTTTTGGTCTCAGATGCTGCGCTTTAGTGCAAATTTTGTATAAATAACTTTTAAAAAGGTGTATAAGTGAAGTGACAGCTCAATTGCCTGCAGGCCCATGTTGTCCAGGTTGCCCCTTTCTTCCTGGAAATCCTTTTGGGCCTTTTGTTACATTCAAGATCAGTGATGGTCCTGGTGGTCCTGGTGGTCCTGGTGGACCGGGTAAACCTGGATGGACCACAGAGTTCAGATGAAATGTTTGCCAACCTGATTCATAAAGTGCAAGTGCAATTCAATAACCTGAACAGAAGATAAAATATGCTATCTTATCTTTCTGCCTTCCTCATTCTTCCTTACCTAGTGTTTTACCTGTGTAGCCACTACTGTAGCTGTATTCAGCCCATCTGTTTGAACTATTGTGGACAATTTTGTCAAGGCCAAGTGGACTGCAACTATCTTATTTATGCTATTTTTATAGGTTTACGCTTCTGAGCGGTGGCATCAATAACTGCCATGATTTAAGTATACATTCATATTGACTGAATAGAATATTTAATGTCTTACAATGTATTTGTGATATTATGTAATATTTCTATATAAAATGTGCAGGATGTATTTTGCTATGCTAGCTTCACGTCTGAAACTGAAAAAGTGTACAGGTACAGACATCTTTGATATTTTCAAATTTTGATACAGTGATTAAAACATACAGGCCACAGAAACATGGTATATATGTATACAGAGACTTACCTTTATAGCCAGGCACTCCTGGGTCTCCTGTGTCACCTGGGTGACCATCAAAGCCTCTCTCTCCCTGTTTACCTCTGGGTCCCGGAGGTCCAGGAGGACCGGGTAAACCTCTGGCCCCAGCCCTGCCAGGATACCCCCTTTCACCTAGATGAATTGAAAGATGGTTTCATTTCAACCAGGACAGACTAGTTTAGGGGTATGGGGCATATGTATATACAGTAAACAATATGGATAAAACATAGAGTTTTGTGTAGTTGGTCAGTGACACTGCTCTTGCTTGAAGTGTGATGCTGGTTGTGGTGGGAAATGTGGTGATTAGATGTTGGAAGGGTCTGGAAACAGTGTATACAGAAGTACAGGTACAGATGATGACTTAATGTGGACTGGCCACTAGCTCCTATATGTGATTGAGATAGAAGATGCAGTTTTAGGCTTAGCTGACTGGATGGTGTAAACAAGCACCTGTCAGATTCAACCTGGAAAAGATTTTAAATGATCAAATAAAAACATAATGCTTTTCACAGAAGTTTCTTATCGAGACAGGCTAGTGGTTCACCTTTCTGTCCTGGCCCGCCGTTTATCCCAGGATCTCCTGAGGCGCCAGTGGTGCCTCTAGGTCCAGCTGTGCCTGGCACACCAGAAGGGCCAGGGACACCTATTGGACCCCTCTGTCCATGACCAGGTGGACCTATATCTCCCTTAAAACCCTTCTGACCAGGGTTGCCTGTGCAATATTAGAAAATTCAATGAGATAACTACTGTCTATTCATGGATAGTTAGATGGTGGCCTCACAACAAAATATTCAGGAATTTATCATCAATTTATCAACATTTTTAAGGGATATTCTGACATCCAGAATAACCACATTTCATCTATATGCTGTGTTCACCTGGTATTCCACTCAGTCCAGGGTTTCCTGGAGGTCCTGGAGGACCTGGAGTTCCACTTAGTTCACATAAAGTGCAGGGTGGGCCTGGGGGACCAGTGTCTCCAGCATCACCATTTTCTCCTGGCTCTCCTTTATAACCTGGTGGTCCAGGTTGGCCTTGTATGCCTGTAATTCAGAGGCACCAATGATCAACCAATTCCAATGTATAGTAAAGAATGTAAAGTGCACTGTAACTGTTCAGTGTGACACAGGCCACATTAACTAAAGCCCAAGTTTTTAAGTGGGTTGTTTGTGTTAACCTATATAAATGAACACTTACCCGGAGAACCTGGGCTTCCAGGAATACCAGGAAGTCCATTTGGCCCCACAGCCCCAGGGCGGCCAGGTGGGCCAGTAGCACCTGGCCTGGCGGAGAAGACATCTCCTGGGGCACCCTTAATGCCTTGGGGTCCTGGTAACCCAGGAGGGCCTTGAGGGCCATCCAGAATAATTCCACTGGGACCAGGGTCACCTGGATCCCCATTTAAACCTGGAGGTCCTTTTACAAATAAGAGAGACCTATAAACAACCCTCTTTATTGTATGATTAATTCATTATTAACTGACAATTTCCATGCAGTGTGGATGCTTGATGATCCAAAAGCGTGAGGTTGGGTCCTCCAATAAAGATACATCTGGAAAAAATTGTGTATAATTTTTGACAACATTTTAAAAAGTCATTACCTGGCGGTCCAATCCCTCCAGTTTCACTGTCATCTCCCTTCATGCCTTTAGGACCTGGGTGTCCCAGAACTCCTGGGAGACCGTCTCGTCCTGGATCACCTGGAATCCCTACAAGGGGCCAAAGAAAAATTAAGTTGGCTTGCAATATGGACTGACAATGTCTCAAGTCTCATAAACAATATTTCTTTCATGACACGTGGCTTATTATGAGCAACCAATTCTGCTAACTGCAGGGCCAATTTGATCAAACTCTTACTTATCTCCAAACTTCAGAAGAGACAATAATCATGGCACTTAGACTTGTAGCAATGTAGCACCTTTGACAAATAGATGTGATATATATAGCCCCTGGATGCAGTGAAGATATTTTTTAGATATCATGTGTAACACCGGTAAAACTTACCTGGTGAACCTGGCTCGCCCTTAGGACCAGGTGATCCAATCTCAATTTCATGACAACATTGCTCAATATCACCTGGTGACACAAATACAACATGTCGTTTGAGCTGTGGGAGGGTGGGAAGGGGCGTATTAGCACCTACTGAGAATCCCTGAATTTAACCCAGTCTCTGACCTGGGGGGCCTGGTCGTCCAGGGATTCCTGGGGGGCCAGGATATCCCTGATTTCCTTTAGGTCCAAGTACCCCCTTTGGGCCTGGATAACCAGGACCTGGGGAGCCTACAAGCCCTGGAAAACCTTTGGGTCCAGAAACACCAGGGTAACCTTTTGGACCAGGAAATCCTGCATATCCAGTACCCTGCAAATTGTATGTATTGTACCTTTTTTTACATGTACATTAACCAGGTAAAATTTAAAGATTCATACCATATATTCCATAAGTTATATTTATAGTACTTAAAATGTACACACTCACCGGTAGTCCAGGGTCTCCCATAGGGCCAGGGGGGCCATCGCTTCCTGGCCTACCTGTTGCTCCAGGAGGACCAGAAGGTCCATGGACTCCTTGGTCACCCTTGGCACCTTTCAACAACAAAAAGTAAATGTTGACGTTCATGTATAAAACAAAGATTTTTGTTTTCTTATTTGACAAAAAGCATAAAGTTACCAAGTTAAACATAAAAAATAATAATATCTCTGTAGACTGTTTAAAATACCTAAAAGACAACACCATATGTTGGTATAACAATAATTTGTATAGTTCAGGTTGGGCTTCAATAGGTGCTCACCTTTAACACCTGCCACGAAATAGTCACCCTTTTGACCCTTCTGTCCTTTTAAACCAGGAATTCCTTGAAAGCCCTGCAAGAAAACACAAATCCAATATTCCAATGTTTCTGTGGCTAAGAACAGAGTTTAAAACATGTTTCAATATGCATGCATCAAATGATACAGTTTGAGTCCTGCTGTCCTTACTTGTGGTCCTCTTTGACCCTCATCTCCTTCCAGTCCTGGGTCTCCCTTAAGTCCTTGAGTTCCTGGTAACCCTGGAGTTCCAGGATAACCAGGTGGACCAGGGGGTCCTATGCTTCCCCCACCAGACCTACATTCACACTCCCCTGCACAACCTTTAGGAGACACAGGTGGCAAAAATACTACACTCACCCACCCAAACACACTTTTTGCTATAGATATTTTTAGATTCTATCATCAGAATCAATCTCTGCTTTCGGAATCCACTAATGGATACAAAAAGTCACAGATCACCTTTAATTCCTTTGAGCCCTCTGTTTCCAGTTGATCCTTTGGGTCCTGGGTCGCCAGGGTCTCCTGGATAACCAGGCTCACAGTAATAATCTGTAAAACAACCAGCCACACACATTGGCCATTATAAGTTAAAAACTTCTGCAAGTAGTTTTAACTTTTAATTTTAATTGAAGTTGAATTAGTGGACTTTCAGAAGAAACTGAGAACTCACCTCCACATCCTGATTCGATCACATCAAGTATTTCACATACACATGCACAAACACATATACACACAAGCCAGAAGGTAAGTCCACATTCAAAGGAACATGCACAAAAACACAAACTTATAGTTCAGATAATGGAATTAGATTTGTAAAATCAACTAACACATAGGAAACTCTTTTGTGTTTAATATGAAGGAAGTGCTAGTATACCTGGAGGACCTGGGGGGCCTTTGGCACCTTTAGGTCCAAGATGTCCTTTATGTCCCTTTGGTCCAGGAAACGGATTGATTTCAAAGTGATTATACCTTCCTGGCTCTCCCTTGTAGCCCTTAGGACCAAGAGGCCCTCTTGGACCAGGCAGACCCAGCTCCTCTAGGTGTGAGAGATGATATGAAACTTCAAATAAGGTTGGATCAAGACAGACAGTTTATAACTTTGAAAACACAAACCTTTGAACAAACTATATAGGGTCAAGACCTAGTAGTCCTACAAACCAGGAATGTAATCGAGAGTTTGATTCATAGTACAATATTATCTGCTCTAACACCACATCTGTCATAAATGGTTGTGAGGTTTAAGGGAGAAAAAAGTGGACGTAAGTTGTTAAACCTGAGTAAAAGGCTGAACTGACCTGGTATTGTTAACCCTGGTGGGCCAGGAGGTCCATGCATGCCCATGAACCCAGAGTCACCTGGAAATCCAGGGGTTCCAGGATACCCGCGATCACCTTTAGGCCCTGAATAATACGAAAATAAAACCATGAAAAGGTCTACAGGTTTGAATATTCTTATACAGTAAATATGGTTGTTTAGTAGCTTAACAAAAGGGTTAAAGAAATGTAACCTACAAAAATCTGTGTATTTGAATGAAAATATGACTGAAGAGAAAATACAGATAAACACTGGAGAAGTGGCTTATGCTGCATGAGTGGTTTGAGGAGTTTCTATGGTTCATACCCTTTATAAATGATGTTTTTTTAATTTGTTGCAACAGACATAATTAAAGATGACTACATCTTACAAACACATAAAAACATAGACATAAATAAAACATAGATTCTGGACCCCACTGGAGTGGGTGTTTTACCAATATACTGTAGTTACACTGACCAAAACAATAAGACCAAGTTTGTGATTCAAGAAGTTATGTCAATATTATATTTCAAAAGTGAGAGTGCAGTCAGTGCTTTGGTCTCACCTCTGGCATCATTTCCATTGTGAAAAAGCAGTGGACCGGGGGGACCTGGATCTCCTGGGTAACCCTGTCAGATGGAAAGATGTTGGAGACCGGAACCACAAATAGAAAATGCCACTGATGTACATAATATTTCTAAAGATGAAGAAAGTGTGGTCACTGGTCTTGTCCAGTAATCCTAATGAACAACCACCAGAATGCAGCAGACAAGGAAAGATGTTTTTTCTTCACTTATTTCCTATAATGGAAGTAAGAATCCTATTTTAAAGGGAACAGAGGTATCACTGAGATGCCACCAAGCATCTGTCCTGCTGGAGAATATAGATCCATGTCATCAAAGTGCGTCCTCAAAGTTTCACTCCCAGCAGCACTCTGGGCTTTCAATATGGTGGTCCATTTTTACAAATAACTAGCTTCTGTTTGCACATGACCTGACATAAGCTTTCTAATTTTGTTCAAATTGTGATGCTGATTCCTTTGTGTTGTTCATGCTCACCTTTGGTCCAGTACTTCCAATTAGACCTGGAAGTCCTTTCTCTCCACGGAGACCCTGAAAACATATCAATGTATCAATGTAACCTAAAAAAATTGTCTAGGTATAGTAACATGAGGGAAGACATTATTATATCACAGGTGTACCTCAGGTCCTGGAGGTCCATCTCTACCAGGAAATCCTGGAAGACCCTATAGATGGAAACAATGGTGTGAATATTGTTTGTATGAATGTATTTGTCTAACAACATGCAATGTGATTTAAGTCACCTACCCGAAGTCCAGGAAAACCAAGGATTCCCTGCTCTCCTTTTATTGCCTGATTATAGTAGTCTCCTCTACCACCCTGATAAGGAGTAAAATCTAAATCAAATACCTTTTTTACTCTCAGACATACTGTCTGTCTGTAATATAAAACTCTTGCTTACCGGTATGCCATCTGGTCCACATGGTCCAGGAGGACCTATTTCTCCCTGAAAAGCAACAAAGAAAATAATTTAGGCGTGGAAAAGGCAGGGTTTGATTGAAAACCCCAAAGACATTCATCAAGTTGGATTTGTCTTCATACAGGTTTATGTAGTAGCTAAAAATGAGCAGTCTTATATAAATACAGATGAGAGCTTTGTCTTCACCTTGTAACCTTTAGGTGGAAGAAACTCTGGAGGATTTATTATGATTTCTTCTGGTCCTTGTGGGCCAGGTGCGCCTTGCTCACCCTGGAATATGGAATTAAAAGGGTAAAGACACTTGCTGGGGTTGTAAGTTGTATCCATACATAATGCACACACGTCATATAAACTTTCACACAGAAACACAGTGTTAAACCTCAATGAACAGCTGCCAAAGGCAAAAATGGTTTCTTACATCGTCACCTTTATCGCCAGCCAGTGATCCTCCAGGGTCCCCCTATGCAAGAACCAAAAATTCAGTAAGGTTTTGTGTTTGTGTGGATGTATGGTTATGTATCAAAGGGTTTTCTTTTACAGCATGCACTGGCAAAGATTGTGAAGCAGGTGACTCACTGGCAGTCCTCTCAAACCTTTAGGTCCTTCCATGCCCTGAATGGAATCACACACATATATTTTCACATATTTGTTCTTGTAATATAGACTATTACAGGTCTAATATAGTGCAGCATACTGTGCATATCCTGTAATATGGTCGTAATTATAGTCTACATAAAAAACTTGAATTAAAAAACTTTTTCACCTCATGTCCAGGAAGGCCTGGAGGGCCAGTAAAGCCTTTAGGCCCAATGTCTCCCCGTCTTCCCTGAGTTAAAAAAAAACACTTGTTAAAGAGACTGAACATAAAGTTGAGTCAACTTAACTGCAAGCAGAGCGTGTAAGATCCACGGCATTTAATCCTTGCTTTATTCATTAGCAGAATATTGCTGGGAAATACTGGTTTACTGTCAAAATAAGAAAAGAAAACATACGGGTCGACCACGTTCTCCATCTCTACCACGCTCCCCCTGTAACATAAAATGAAACAAAGACGAAGAAGATGTCAATATTTACAGACACTGTAATAGGCAAATTATTATGAAACTGCTCAAACAATTGTTTTTCAACACTTGTGAAGCCCACTCCATCATTGATCTGAGCTTCTCCAGACTAGGGGAACTTACAGGAAGTCCTGGAAGGGAAGTGTCATACAAAGGTTCTCCTTTAATTCCTTTAGGTCCAGGTATTCCCTGACGAGAAATATAAAATAATTTACATGACAGAGAATGATTGAGAACATTGCTAATATTTAAAAAAAAAAAAAAACTGCTGGTAGGAAACAGGACAGAAACTCAGGCCTCTGGTCTACATGTTCAACCACCACCCAAACCTCCACAACCTTACTTATCTTTGTGCTATTTGAATGCCACACTAAGTCCTGCATTGTCACTGAACAGAAGTTGTGCGCTGCAGAACCCCTACATTTCGTAGAAAGGCTAGAGAAGGACATCTGAAGGTCTCACTCCTGACTGAATTATGGCTGAGAGAAAATATCAGCACAGGAGTTATACTCACTGGCGGCCCATGGAGACCATCCAAACCAGGAATACCAGGGACTCCTTGTCGACCCCTTGTCCCATTACAGCCATCCACTCCTGGCAAACCGGGCTCGCCGCCTGCTCCAGGATGGCCCTGAACAATATAGTACAGTTATGGTGATGAAATTTAATTGCAAAGTATAAGAAGTCACAATTATGACCTCTTTGACTCTAGTCAAAAGTACTGCTTTACAGCATTCATGCTTCGAATAATTTTATATTACTGGTGAATTAACAACTTCATTTTTATTAAACACAAGCACTAGAGTAATGAAGAGACAGCTGCAGTAGGCATAGAAGGAAACCAGGCCCACATCTACAGTACTCCATGATGTATCCACTAGAGGGCATACCAGACACATTCTTCAGTAGCAGTCTCCAATATTGTACCTTAAATGCATGCACTTGGCAGTTACATAGTTGGAATTATTACACAAAAAAGTTTGATATTATTATGAATGAGATGGAAATATAAGTATAAAAATAAGCAAAAAGTATGTCAACCCAATGTTGAGCTATACAGGGTTCGGGATGTTGGTGCAATCCCCTCAGAGAGTTACTCACCTCTAAGGGATTATTACTCTCAGAGTAAGCTGTATGGGTTTTTCACTGAATTTGTAGATACAATTCACAACAACAGTATTTTACTCACTGGTGAGCCATCATTACCAGGAAAACCAGGAACACCAGTCTTGCCCTGAAATGTACAAAGTATGGGCACCATTCATTCATTGCAGGGTTAGATTGCATCACTGGCAATATATTATTTTGAACAGGTTTAACAATGTAGACATATTGTGATGATTAGCTATCTGCCTTGCTTTCTGTCAGTTTTAATCTTAGACACAACTATGCACATGAAGATGCACACTAACTTGGTCTCCTTTGGGCCCCGCTGGGCCATGTGATCCCTGTGCTCCCATCCTGCCTTTTTCTCCCGGTAGCCCTTCACGTCCCCATGGTCCCATTTGTCCCCGGGGGCCTTGCTGGCCTGTCTTCCCTGGAGGTCCCTACAAAGAGAAAAGTCAAAACATTAACTGAAACTGTGACACTTAGGATTAAGAACTGTTTTTTTTTCTTCAGGAACATTAAGTTATTTACGACATTTAATTCACATTTTCACTTCTATCAGCAACCAAGGAATTGCTTATTTGCACCTGGATAGTTGATTAACATAACAATAATGCTGCACTGTACTGGTTTTATCATAAAAAGCTATTAGGTGCAATATATGGTATTGGGTGCAGTATCTGTCAGATCATCAAATATAATAATTTCTAAAAAAGTAATTTTGGAGAAAAATACAATAAATCTAAATATTTTCCTTTGTTAAATATTTTTCTAATGAAGAAAATATCAACCTTACTATTGAGAGAGTAATTAATGATAACTTTCCAATACATAACAACATGAGAAGAAAGAGTCCATACCTGTGCACCTTTGACAGTAAGACACTGACATACGGAGCAGTCTCTTCCTTGACATGGCTCTGCAATCTCACCCTGAAACAACAAATAGAAACAAGCCATAAGCAGAAGAGACTCGTCATTACTGCATTTGAAAGAGACATATCCAAGCAGAGGAGATTATAGTAAGGGATCTTAAGGGCATCAGTGGGCACATCGGATAAGGTTGGAGTTTGGGCATGACTGCCATTCCTGAGAGTTTTACAACACTGAGAATCAGCCTTGAGAATCAACATATTTACTTGTGGTGACTGGACAGTACTGATAAACAAATCAGTGTTCTAACATACACTTGGGTAAATAATAAGCACTCAGACGTTGATGAGAAAGAAAGCTCACAGTTCTAATTATGCATCTTGCTGAAAAACTATTCTTTTAAGTCCACACCTCCAGATGGCAATTATTCCTCTCTCTGTGTGTGTGTGTGTGTGTGTGTGTCTGAAAGAGAGAGAGAGAGAGCGTGTGCCTATGTCTGCAGAGAGTTTTACAGTGCAGAGATGTCTGTGGCAAATATTTAGTCTCGAAGCTTACTAAATATTTGGATGAGTTTGTGCTCGTGAAATTGAGTTCCATCCCACATCTGTTGGCCCACTTTCTCTTTCGGTCCAAACTTCGTGGCTATGTCTTGCCATTGAGATTTAGTGCATAAGCTAAATTGGGAAAACTTAGTGAAGTAAAGGTACTGGCAGGTCTCCATTGCCACAGCAGCTAAACAACAAGTAGTGTTAAGCTCAGTTTAGCTTTAGCAGAGCAGAATGTGAAAGTTGGGGACTTTGGCAACACCTTTTTACTACTTATCAGTTGGACTACTTTTCCTAAATGTAACACTGCTCTCTTGGCGTTACTGCACCACCTGATGGGTGTGTGATAATAATATATATAATTAATATGTTTGAGTGTTACTTTTACATAACAAAACACCTAAATTAAAATTTAGGAACAGTTTTCTGAAAATGTGGAACTCCTAAGCTAGGTGGTAGCATTTAGCTAGCTAACATTAGGCTAATTAGGACAAGTGCGAGCCATTAGCAATTACACCAACGTTAGCGGCGGTTTACGTTAGAGCAGGCAAACACACAATGTAGCTAATTGTTTCATTCCTTCACTTTTGTTCTTGTGTTTTTGGTTCGGGTAAGTTAAGGTAAAAAAAAAAAAACCTGACCTGGAACAAGAAAAGTGTTCTACTGGCACACTAGCTTGATGCTATTTAAAGGTAGGGTAGGCAATCCTGTTCAGAAGCACGTTTTGTTATACTGGGTGAAATGGTCCCTCTGTTGTCAGAGGAATCAATAATCAAGTTGCGTTAATGTCTTCAGAAAAAGAACGAGAAAATCAGAGCTCTCTTCAGCTGCGAGGACTGAGAGAACTTCGACCAATCCGTGGGGGGGGGGGGGGACCCCCCCCGCGCCCGTTTTATTACAGGAGTTGGGATGGTTGGCAGTGAAGGTGATCCGAAGGAGCAACAAACCAATCAGATGCCTTCGTTGTTCTAGTTGCTTGCACCGCGCCGTCCGCCCCTCATGTAGCCTGTGTGCCGGTGAAACAAACAGCAACACTTCTCTGCAGACGACAGAGTTACAGGATGACAGGTTTCATGATAAGATTCTGAGCAATGCTGAGAAAAGTACGCTTCGGTACAGGTTACTTGAGAACGGCTTTTTGTGTCTGTCGCTTGAAGAAAAAGGCAAAGAAAAGAAAGCCGAGATGAAAAAGGCAGGCTAACAGAAAAGGCTCTGGATTGTAGGGCGGAGAAAGCAAGAGGGTCAAACCTAGGTTTGAAGTCAACATCGATGTAAGCTTTAAATGCACGCTCTGGATGGGAAGACCAACCTGAACAAGGAAGGGAACAGAAGAGACAACTGAAAAATGTCAGATGCACAGAAGGATTGCAATTACTCCTGATACTGCTTGAGTCAGAGTTTATACCTTCTACTTTCTATTTTTTGCTGCTTCTTTGGGTATTGTTTGTCATTTTCTATGGAAACACATAATGTAAGCTTTTCCTAAGCGTAGGCTACGTTTTGTAGGTCGTTCAACTCTAGCGTAAATGCATATGGAACGTAGCTGATAGCTCTAGCTCGTCACTCTCCTACCTTTGGCGACCTTCGATTTGTGTGCGTGTGCGCTGCGCCACGTATTGTCCAAGGGCCGCGTGAGCTTTGGTATCCGACCCACCACTGATCGGGGAGGTCTGATGGGTGACAGGGTTTATTGTTGATAGCCATGAAGCCAGCCATCCACGAGGAGTGGGCAGGGACCCCCTCGGCGTGTGGTTCGTATTCTGTGCGAAGAGCCTTGCTAGCTCTCTCGCCTAGCTTTCCAAGATATGCACCAAACCCACAAGCTTTAAGTGGAGTATCACTCTGCTTCGGTTGCTAGTTTACCCTCTTTCTTATCTACCGGCTCTCATAGCTTCGGCAAGGCCGGCTCACGCATTTTGCTCTCGTGACTCCCTGGCCCTACGTCGTCCCTTATGCTGCTCAAGCTGACTTTGCTTCTCAAGTCTCGTCGGGCTATGTCGTTGTCTCATTGACTGTTGGAGCCATCTCCTCCCCGCACGCCCCAAATTTGAAATCATCGGTTTACTATGTCCAAACGGGTCCTCGTTCAACGCAATATTGTGCAAACAGAATTTTCTGCGAGCCGAGAAAAGCTATGGGTATCGGTGGGAAATTCTGTCTGCCCGCTAGCACCTTAGATTATCGCTCGCCGCGCGTGCGAATACCACAATGGGATCTGCCTCGTGAGATGTTGGTGATGTGGTCCCGCCTGAGGGTGCTGGGATGGTCTTGCCGTAAGAGGACCGCACCTCGAGATCTTTAAGAAGTGAATTCGGAACCGATTGAATAACATGAGGCCATATCTGTTGATTGATTGGAGGGTCTTGTCAGCCACACCCATGGAAGTGCTAAGGTAGCGAGGATATCCCGGAAGATGCGTCAAGCGAGTGCGCGCACAGCGCGCGCATTCACATAGTGGCTGCGTGGCTTCGCAGAAATGCACATTGATTGGCAGCTGGACGCACGAAAAGCTCGTTTAGCGGCCTCAGACTTGCGCATATAAACCGCAACATGGGATAAGACACACCTGTGAGAGAACTGCTGGTTACAAATCGCTTCAGAATGTATGGTGAGCCTCATTAGCCACCCGCAACATCAGGGAAAACCATAACGATTGGGAGAGAGGCTGTTTGATGCTCCAGACTGTGGGTCAATTGGACACCGCAAGCATGGACACAACAAGGACCACCTGCTATGGAAGAATCCAGCATTCCAACAGCCAGCGTTACAACACGTACTTCGCAGGCTGGCTATGCTTATCAAGGTGAGAATTTGAATGAATTCCCGCATTGATACCAGATCTGGGGACAAATAGAGGTAAATGTGTTCTATTGAAAACGGGATAATCTTAGGCGTCGGCCTCTGATGAAATCCTAACCACCAAACTTCAATTAATGGGTAAATCTGCAGTCCGGCCCTCAGCGAGCAACCGGCGCCTATTTGCCAAGGCCGCTGGCTATCCAGTAGAAGGCGCAATACCTCAAATCGCAAAGGCATTATTCACCAATCAAGCAAGGTCCAATTCTTAATCTGTGCCTTCCTCATAACTGTATAAGGATTTTACCTAATAATGCATAATGGTGAAATTATAAATAAAAAACATTTTTTGAATTCATATTATTTTACTTGGATTTGTATTTGTTTTTTTGGGTTTTTGTTAATTAATAGACCTTTTGACCCTAGAATATATGTTATAGCAGTGTGTGGAATTGTGACTCATGGTTTCTGAGATTCTGATTTCTGTAATACACATACCTAGGCCTTACTGTATTATATTCGCGCAAAAATTCATATATTGCGCACATTAATTCTTGTTCCACCTAGCATTAGGGGTTGACATAAATGTTAAAACCCCACTAGATACATATGCAAAAAGACAAGAACTTCTAGCCGATATATCAGCATGTAAGCAATCGGGTGAATCACTGTGAATCCACATCAGCAATTGTCGTGCACAGTGCATAGAAAATGATAGAGTACTTATAGATCCAAGTACTATATAAATACTGCAATCCATCTCACTGCGCACGTTGCAACACTAAAAACTGACTCGAGACATTTCACAGGTCTCATTCAAAGAAACATTTAGACTTACTCAGAAAAAGACGTTGATTACTTATTGATCTATTTACCTAATCCTTATCTGGTTAGACCATATTTAATAACGCATGTGTATATGTAATTAACAGTATGGTTTATAGCTCTAAGTGTATTGTAAAACTAAAATAATAATCTTGGAGAGTAGTGCAAGTGAAAACCCAGATGGTACAACAAAGCAGTGAGCACCACTGACATTTGAACATTGAAGTTGTAACAGGAAGAGGTGTACAGATACAAGGACAGTATGTCCCTGGGCATTTATCATGCCAACATCGACGAGCCTCATCAGCTCATTCTCACAGCAGTGTAGTTCTAAAAATGTAAACATATTACATGATGACAGAAGAATCGACGAAGATGCTCAATAAGTTAACACTGTGATATTACCATGCCATAGTGTCTCAAGATTATACTTTTTACATCGGGTTTTGTGTTTTTATTGTTAACTTCGAATCTTATAGTAGTTTATCCAACCCTTATTTAACATGAGTTGTGAGGTTAAGAAATATGTATATATCATGAACTGCTCAAATAGGTCTGCTGTTGTCTGGCCAGGTTGGTTATTCTCATGTATTGTATCTTGACTGATAATATTTGGAGCAATTGGTATTAGAAATGGTTCATTGTAATTGGATTTCTCATGTCAAATTTTTGCTTATTGGTCTCATTTAAGTAAAAAATGGATTTCATAGATTAGGTTTGTGCAACATTTAAAAAGGTCGTCAATTTATTCTATTTTAAGTATGAATTAAGGTCTTTGTTGTGTTGAATTCAAATTGATGTTTAAATTGTAAACTCAAGACTAAACAAGGATAAGTCATTTAGCTGCATTGATATTAGTCTGCTGCTGCACATAAGATGGAACCTACGGGACAATATAGGAATCCACCTACTGTAGTGAATATTGTATAAAGTAGTATTATAAATTTTTAACTGTTGAGGTCTCATTAGATTTAGATCCTCCAGCTATATTCTCTCTGGATGCTCATTTTCTTCACAACCCATAAGGATGGAGGACATGTCAATTGCTAAACTACTAGTAACGTCAAATCAGGAGTGTGTGCGGTGCTTGTTGCTTGAGTTGACCTAATATTAATCTGAAATAACTCAGTGGATAATGTACATTATTGCTTATATTCTACTATTACAAACAGTATGCACAGCATATGTGAGGCAAGAATTTTATTAATTGAAAAAATTATACAGTTCTAAAAAAAAGAAGCATGGAGCAATTCAAACTTATCGCTGCTATCATTTGTAGGATTAAAAGTCTAATCAACTGGATACAAACTACATGGTATGTATGACGATTAGTATACCAACTGCATCTTACTCAATTAGTGTGTGCTCTTTGTTGTATAGGAGAAGTCATAAACTCCACCCATAGGAGAACTATCTCTAAAGAGTGTCGGAACCACACTTGAGTTATATTAGAAAACAAAAGTATGGGTGAATGACTTATCTCTCCTTC